TAGGGAAAACAATTGGGAGGAAAAAACCCTAAATATCATCTGCACATTTAGAGCAAGAAAGAGAGAGAGCAAATGTAAATACATAATAACTTGTGTTTAGATAGTAAACAAGATGTGTACCTCACATCATGCCTCGAAGCACAGAGGACCTGACTCTGTGACAGCCGCCTGGTTAATGCTGTGTGGTTTGGCACATCAGCTTATCGTTCATGTTGTCAAGATCCTGCTGGAGTGACTTTGTTGGACTTAAATTGGCCTGTCCAATAATGCAGATTTTCAGAATCAGGTGATTAATGTTAAGATTCGTAAAAGAGCCCCAAGTCCCTTATTTCGCTGTCTGATGAAGCGAGCTGGTTTTCCAAAGGGCTGTGTCCCAGCAGCTTCTGTGAATAAGGCGAGCGGGAGCTGCTTTGAAACCTCTCAAGGAGCCTTTTGATGAATCTGGGTTGTGACTCAGAGAGGAATCTCTGCAACAGTGCTTGCCAACCCCACTGATATCCCCAGTGAGGAAACCATTGCTACCAAGAGTAAAATAAGCTGATGCGGATGCTGAGGCAGAGTCTGTGACAGCCCTGGATGCAAGCAGTAAGCCCAGACCCAAGGATGAGTGAGGGATCGTGAGCGTTGTCTCATTTAATCACCCTCCAGTACAGTCAGCAGGATGCTGTGAAATGTTGATGGGTCTTTTGCCGTTTCTTGCTTGTTTGCATCAACTCACGCCTCCTGACGCTGAGGTGCGCCGTCAGCAGGGGCAGAGGGTACCCAGTGTGAGTTGGAAGCGGGACCTTTGCTATCCTGGCAACAGTGTAAATTGGGGTACAGATAGGTAATGCAGAAAGCACTCCGTAGGTCTGGATAAACATCAGAAAATTAGGAAAAATCTGTTTTCTGGATCTATATGTAAATATGTGTAGAGGAAGAAAACCTGTCAACTTTGATAATTATCTGTTCCTCTTCTGCACTGTGGTCCTCTCCTTATTTTCCCTTCATTTATTAAAAGGCTGCACTCAAAAAGCTCTCTAAAGACTGTGCATGTCCATTTGCACAGCAAGTTGCAGGTCTCAGGGCTGGAACTGAAGCTAACAAAACACTTCTAAATTGTTCCACGAGAAAGGCAGCTTCTTGTCAAGTGACAGATGAGGAGCATTTTGTGGTTGCTTTCTCGTTTCAAGAATTCTGGTGAAAGTCAGGAAAGCATAATACTTTCCTGATCAGCTTAAACGTTTATCTGATGTGCATCTGAAAGACATTATTGTCTTGAATGTAAGCATGTCATTAAAGATAGGAGAGACACTGGCATGTTCTGCCAAAGAGGCGGCAAGGAAGAACACTTCAATAAATACACATATTATCATCATTAGCAGAAATCTGGGTCACATGAGGAAAGGGAACACAGTGCTCTATGAAAAGTTATTTGAATAAATAAGGCTGTGTTGTGGAGGAGACCACTGTGTACTGAGCGCGCTCTGTTTCAAGAGATTTGCCATCAGAGGGTGCGGAGGACGGGCTCTTCCAGCCAACCCCTGTGCTGGGACTCGAGCTCCTGCTGAGACCTTGATCCTCCTGAGGCCGCTGTTCAGCAGATCCCTGGCTGTGCTTCCTTTTCTCTTTGCCAAACTGTTCATGGCTGTGGGGAAGGGAGAGGTTATGGACCTGTTTGGTCAATGGTAATTAATACTAATGTATGCCCACCGTGTCTCTTGAGTGCAAATACGGAGCAGGGTCGCTCAGCCAGGACAGGAGAACTTCCTGCATTAATATCCAGAAGACTCGGGATTGATCCATCCAAACCCAAATGTACCTACACAAAAGGAGGTTTTGCTCATATTTTTGGCCGCGTTGTGGCATTCACCTTCCTTCAGAGGGTCACTCGACACGCCAAGAGAAAGGCGGCAGGAGAGGCGTGTTATGGGCAGTGACACCTTCAGACTGCCCTGGTTTTGAAATGTCAACCATTTCGCTGTTACACCGCCGCCTGACTCCTGAGGAGCATGCTGCATTTGGCAGGGGAGCCTCATGCTATCAGCACGTCTAGCAGCCAAAACAAACAGGTGGAGCCAAACTAGCACAAGTCCTGCCTCACCGAGTGCATGTGGTGCTTGAATTGGTGCGGGCAGGGGTGCACTTGAGTTCGAGGGGACGTACCAAGAGTAGAGCGAAAACAGTGGTTTTCTCATTTCAGTGTTGTTCATAATTGTTATATTATTCATATCATAATGATAAGCTAGCAGGCTCCCATGAATACTGTGCTCAGTGTTGTTAGGTCACCTGCTTAAAAAACAAAAATTCTCACATTTTGCCTAGAAAATTGAAAATCTAGAATTGACAGCAGAATAGTCAGGTAAGTCACTGCAATGTGCCCATCTAAATACTTCCTCGACTCTTTCTCTACCTAGGATAGAAACAACAGTACTTAAAATCAGCCCCATACCTATCCCTAGCTTTACTCCTGGCATAGAAACATTTTTTGCTGCTTGTAACTTCCCACGGTTTTCCATGGGAACAATTACTTTTTCTTTCACCCAGGCTGGCCCTGACACACATTGCAGCTTCCCATTTACTCTTTCTCGTACGGCTGCTACCCAGGTGACATTTATATCCAGCCTCCTGCATAATTTTACTCGAGCTCCAAGTTACTATGCCCACGAAGAGCCGTAGCATTTCTCAAGCTGTGTTTCACAAGCCAGCTTAACGCGTTGAGTCACTTGCGTACGTACGTGCCTTTCTCTACACCCACATAATGAATAGGCTATGAGACGATAAACACACACCTTTTCATTTTCTCAGTTCTCCCTCACTGCTTTTTTTATTTATTCTGCTTGTATATGAAAATACGTTGCTGTGTATATGAAAATCCACTGCTGATTTCCCTGGCAAGTGAATGTATAGGATGGTTTTGGTTGCTGGTGTCACAGCGTACCTGCCAGGATGTCGAAGTGTCAGGTTTTGTGCTCACTCCATGTCTTGTGCTTCCCTTCTAGGGCTCCACCTATTATAGGATATTTACCCTTTGAGGTTCTGGGAACATCAGGGTATGATTACTACCACGCGGATGACCTGGAGCTTCTTGCTAGGTGCCATGAACACTGTAAGTTCCTCTCCCTCTGCTGCATGCCTGTCTTTGATCTCGTTTGTCACTTGTGCAAAACCTTTTACTGTCATCCAAAAAGGCGTCTTTACCTTTATCTGGGGCACAAGGGAATTCCCTCTTCCCCTGACAGACTGTCACAGCTGACGCTTACCTCGGAGGCTGAATCCCTGCAGAATTCAGTCAGATCAGGAACTCTTTGTGCAGGTTTCCAAACTGGCAGATGCCCTGTTTGAGCACAGATCACCTGAGCGTGCAATGAGATTAATAGATGGGAAATCAGAACTTCACACCGTCTGTCCCCAGTTTGTTAGGGCAGCCCCAGACCCTGGCGGTTTTGTAGATTGTCACAATTCATGGGGTCTTGCTTTTCCCCTGGGCTCTGGAGTCAGCCGGGAGGGTCAGCTCACCCAGATGCCTTCTGAAAGCAGAGTTTGGATCCCCTGCCTGTGCACTCAGATGTTGTGAACCTTGCTTACTATTAGCAAAAAGCTTCTGGAGATTCAGACTCTTTTTAAATACAAAAGTACCAACTACAGATTCCCTGTGGGTGAAGATGGCTCGTTTTTGGTTGACCTGAAAGTAAAGCAGAATGCAGCTGGGGCTGATATGTGAACACCAGCGAGTGACCATGAAGTTCATTTTTGTGCAAGGTGTAATGCTGTGTCCTGAAGAGCCCAGGAGGAGCCAGGTCGGAAGGAGCATTTAGCCCGAGGACTGCAGCAGTGCAGCCCACTGCCGCTCAAGGCTGGTCCTGATGTGAGGAAGGGCAAAAGGTGGCAGCAAACATCATCTGCTAGTCGTCAGTGTGCTTCTTCTACTTGATGAGCGTGTGAGATGCTTTATCCCTGAGACTCTATTTTCCATTTTGTTACCTGCACTGCAGACTGAGATATTGAGCTAGAATTAGGTCTGTCCTCCAGCTGGTTTGCATTGCCAAGCAATGTAACGTGAAGTAACTACACACTTTGTAAAATGCATCTAGGTAATCGGGTACTCTGCCAAGAAATAGTACTTACAGGTTTCCTGTTGGGCAAACTCTCTTTCTGTTTGTCTCTCTGCTGTCTCCATTTGAAAGGAGAGTGTTTTGTCAGAAGGAAACAAGGACACCCCAGAGAGTGGAGAGGGTGGGATGCTGTAACTACTCTGAGATGCAGAGCAACACGGTGCAGGGACACCAAGAAACCCCACAGCCCCCCAGGATAATGAAGCTAGACAAGCTGCTCCGTCTCCGAGCTGCAAACCACCTCCATCTCTATCACAGACCCTCGACCGCTTACATGTACAATATGCTAAAGGACCTAGTAGAGAATGGAGAAAAGTACTTCTTCTCTGCACATCAGGTTTCCCCACTCCACTTTCCTGCTGGTTTTTCCTTCCCTGTCAAGGCCAAGCACTGGTACAGAACTGTCAGTGGGAAGTGGGTTGCCTGGCTGAGCACCCAGCAAGAAGTGTCAGCCAGAAGACCTTTGCTAAGTGCTTCATCTAAAGCCCATCACTGTTAATGGGATCACTAAATAAGTTAGGTCTGACGTTTAACAAAGTCAAGGTGTGCAGATGAGCAATAATACTCGGGTTAGTGTGGCTTGATAAGTTCCCGTTTGTCGGGTTGACCACTCTGGGCAGGCATCTTGCCGACTGTGAGGTGAAATGGGCTTGCTTAAACCATGTTTGTATTTAACTTTGCATTAATGATGGGTGTTTTAAGTGAGCTTGTTTCATTTCGTACTCTCAGCAGTCCAGGAACAATTAATGTGGTTATTTAATGTAATTCCCCTCATCACGTTCCAGTTGTATTACACCACTTGAGACTCTTACTCTGGACATACCTAGATAATACATACTAGGTTGGGTGTATTTAGGTCATCCCTCAGAAGAAAACTCTCAGTTAAGCTGCTAAAACTCCACTATCTTATTGGTTTGTGCCAGTATTAGGATCCTGACTTCAAGCCCCCGGTCTTTGAAATGCATTTTCATGTACTTGTGAAAGGCCAGTGCTTTTAAAATTAATGTTATTTATGCTTATTTCAGGGGAGCCCACTAATAAGTTATAAGAATATAGCTGGTTACAGAGTTATGCCCATTTTTTAGGTATAAGAACAATCTCAAAACAGCAAAGTGCACTCTCGAAAAATCAGTAGCAGAAAAGAACCCAAATAAAAGCTCAGTACGTGGTTGTGTATTGTGTGTTGTGTCTGTGAAGCCACAAGAGCCATTTTAGTGCAGCAGCAGACTGCAGGAGGGGTGTGGAACCGAGTCATTTCTCTCATCGCCTTTGCACCCTGAAGTTTCTGCTTGCTGTAAACCGCTTTCCTTTTTGTTTAACAGTGATGCAGTTTGGAAAAGGCAAGTCCTGTTACTACCGGTTCCTGACCAAAGGGCAGCAGTGGATATGGCTGCAGACACACTACTACATCACCTACCACCAGTGGAACTCCAAACCCGAGTTCATCGTTTGCACTCACCTGGTAGTTAGGTAGGAGCAAGCACCAAACACTTCACAGTGCGTGTCCTGTGTGCTCATCCGTTACTTGGTCCAGTTCTGCCTTGTGTTGGCCGAGTGTTTGCTGTGCATATTCCCACGCTGAGATGGTGTGTGATCCTGTAAAACTGCTATGAAAGGGAACACGTGGAAAGCATCGTGTGTTTTCATTACTCCTGGGTTGTTGGCTTTTTTTGGCAACCAGGCCAAAAGCCTGTAAGCCACCGTTGGCCAAGTCTATCTGTGTTACTTTCCCCTTTCATCCCCAGCGGTGAGGTGCCATAGGAAGAATTAAAGCTGGTAAAAATCAGTTGGCTGTATGGGTGTGAACGGGATCATACATCTCCTCCAAAACCTTTATCAGAGCTTTAGATATTTATGACTTGAAGCTAGCTGCTGTCTGCTGCCTTATTCCTCGCCTGAAATCCAGCCCAGGATCCCCCTCTAGTGGGAAGCTGCTGGTGCTCGGTTGCAGACCGTGCTGGAAGGCAGTAGGTGTGTGGGATGCTCTGTGATATGCTCCTTCTGGAGTGGAATCTGCTTGATTAGCACTGTCCTCTCAAAAAAGATGGTGTTAAGAGTGAGAATATATTTGCTGAAGGGCTTGAAGAATAGCCACATGCTTGTGTGCTCTGTTAACTTAAGACGCAGCGAGCAGCACGTTTACTCTCTTCGCTGTCAGGGATCAATCTGTGAGGTTTTTTTTCTGGTCCTTCTTTTTCTTGTCAAACATCTGGAAGAGCAAATACCGGGATATTCTGAATCACAGCCTGAGCACACCTTACACTGCTGAACGGGTGTAGGTGATGAGAGCTGTGTGTGCTGATAAGAAGTACGTGTCATTAGCATGAGCAAATGGTGGGCAGAGGGATTGCTTCTGAGTGGTGTTGCTTCTGCCGTCCTTCAGGGAATTTAGCTTTGCTTTAAGCTCTGAATTTATTGTGCTTCCAGTGCCTTTTAAACCTAGTGATATAGTCCTGAATGGATTTAGAAATTCAATTGTGTATTGTATAGGTAAGGTTTAGAATAGATTATTGAAACGCACAAGTTAAAATGCGATTTCAGGAAAATTCATTGCCTACAATGGTAGCACAATAAATTCAGTAACTTCCCTTGCCTCCCGCAAAGGTTATGGCCCATTAATATTTCAGCACCCTAAATTCTGGCACCTTTCAATGCCCACGATCCACAAGCACTCAGAGTCTTTAAAACATCCTCTCCATTTTATCCCAGTGGTGAATCATGTGGTGCTCTTCACTGTAAATATTTTATTATTTAGGAGAAAAAATACTAAGGAAAGCAAAGATAGAAATTTAGAGGCACATTCCTGGGGATTCCTGCACCTGGGCAGCTTCGGTTTGTATTCATATTGTGCACTGGAGTGAGGGATAACTGTGATGTAGTGCTGCATGCACCCTCAAAACCAGGGACCTGACCTCCTCCTCCTCCCCAAGCACGGGCTTGCTTCTCACTGAGTGACCGTGCAACGTGCAAAAAGAGCGATTCTCGATCATCAGCAGGTTAGAAAATGAGTATACGTTTGCTCTGGCAATTTGCCTGCACAGAAGCTGTAGGATAATTTTTCTGCCTGATTACGCAAAATGGGAATCTCCTTTATTAGGAAAACTGTACTGTACAATAACCAAGTGCACTTTGCTCTTAGATCGGTTTTGCTGGAAGACATCCCGGGTCAGAATTTGCGAAGGAGTGTCTGTGTTTGTGTTTGGAATGATGGATCACGTAGGTTCTGCAGTGCTGGGAACAGTGGGACTGGGAAACTGCCCTGTTTCTAATCTAGGGATGTTCAGCGTGTGCAGTTGTTCACGGATTGCAGGGCTAGGTGATGATATTCCTCTAAGCACCTTGTAGATGAGAGAGTGCATGGTTGTGTGCTGTGCAAAGCTTGTGACTCAACATGAAAAAGGATAGTTACCGTACAGTAAAAAATACCCAGACTGAAAAACTGGATTTAAATTTTTATTTTTATTTTTTTTTTGCATGGTTGTGTGCTGTGCAAAGCTTGTGACTCAACATGAAAAAGGATAGTTACCGTACAGTAAAAAATAGACTGAAAAACTGGATTTTAATTTTAATTTTTATTTTTTTTTAGTTATGCAGAAGTTCGAGCTGAAAGAAGGCGAGATCTTGGCCTTGAAGAGTCATCAATTGAACTGGCATCCTCTTCTCTAAAGGTACCATGTCCCTTCACAGTTGAGTGAGTAATCACTTACCAGTCTTAGGAGAAAATATCCATTCTTTCTTCTCCTTTACTGCCATCTCCTTCCAAGACTTCAGCTGGGTTGTGACTTAGACAAACCCTGAGAAATTTTCCACTGCATGGCTCTAAACTGCCTGGCTTTGTTCAGGCCCGTAACTGCAAATTCAGCGGCTGCATTGCTGCTGTTCTGCTCTTCATTATCTTTCTGTGGCTGTGACTCAAATGCCAGGTTAAACCCCCTCAGTTCAGAAGCCGAGAAGCAGAGCTGGAGCTGGAGGCTGGATTGCTGTGGCTGTCACTGTTAGTGCGGCACAGAGGATCCAGGCACAGGGCAGTACCACACGGTACCTCCACACGGTACCTCCTGTGTCAGTGCCACCTTGTCACCGATACTCAGACAAGGGTTGGAGGTGAAGGGAAAACACCTATTCCAGATTCCAGCTCTGTTTACACCATTGGGCAGGGTCACATCAACTGTAGGATTCTGGCCAGAGCAGTAATTTCCATGGCTTCAATCAGTCTGGCATCCCAACACACCTGCCCAATTAACGAGATCATTTTAATTACTTTTAAATTCTTCCTCTTGGCAGTTTATAAATAAGGCCAGTAATCAAGGTAATTTCAAGCGGATTGTAGTGTAATTATCATTCCATTGACCTCATTGCTCTTCAGACATTATTGTATAGATGCGCCTATGGGATGCATAGGGGAAGCTGTCCCAGAGACGTTTTTCACTTGAGCAAGGACCGTCAGCTGCTTCTCTGTCACCGCATACACTTCTGTGTCTTTTTCCTCTTGCCGCATAATAGCTGAGATATTTTCCTGCAGACCTTAAGCTGCATCTGTTGATGTGAGGCAGCTGGAGGACAGGCAGAGCGATCACTCCCATTGCTTGGTCTTCTGGAGGGGAGTGGGAAGCTGGGGAGCTCCGTGGGAGGCATGGGGAGGGTGGTGGCACGGCCAACACAGTCATCCTGCAGGTGAAAGTCTCCTGCTGCCCAACAGTTACGGGCTGCTTGCCATAAACTGCTTGCCAGGTGGCATCTCTCATTTTGGTGGGACAGCTCATAAGGAGTTCACCGGCTCAGGCTGCAGTGCTGGCCCTCTGTGCACCCAGTCTGTTCTTTTCCTTTGCAAACAAGCGGCTGGGGAGGTGGAGGTCCCCTCCTTCACCATCCTCTCCTGCTAACAGTCTCTTGGCTTGTGCTTCGCCCCCTGCAGAGCCACAGCAGCTTCCTGGACGTGGGGCAGTGCGGCAGCAGCCAGGACGCCAGCAGGGAGGGGGTGTCGCTGTCGTCCCACAGCTCCCGACGCTCCTCGCACACCGCGCTCTCCGACTCCGCATGTAGGTGCCAGAGCAGCCTCCACAATACTGGGGTTTGGCTGGGGGACACCTGGAGACACCCATGTTGGGAGGGCTGAAACAGGGCATTAGCATTGAGGGGAACCCTGCGAGTCAGATGGAGAGCCAGGGTGACTGTGAAGGGACAGTGTGGGGACCCAGTTTGGCAACGTTTGGGTCGCTGCTCCTCTGCATACCTCGGGTTCAGGCTTAGCCGGGGTACCCAGGCTCAGATGTGCTGTATCACAGTGAACCATCTCTTTTCCAGCCACGTCATCCATGCGACACACGGACACCAGCACACCCACACGGCCCTCGGTGCTGGGGGGACAGGCAGAGAAGGCAGCCCTGCGGCTGGCATCAGCTGGAAGCGCTCAGGTCGGTGGTCGCTGTGAGCAAAAGCCTTTCTGATGCTGTAAAGAAATGAGCTTGACAAACCTGGATCGTGCCCTCAGAAAGGCTGGATCCCCACCTCTGAGTGTGCTCAGCCTGGCCCTGGGGTTTCCTGGGGCTGTGGGGAATGCTGCTGGGTGGCACAGCCTGTGGAGGGCTGCTGCTAGAGGCTTCTCCGCCACCTCCTTTCGGGATTCAGTTCGCTCCTCCAGGCCAGGCGCCTTCTGACACCATGACCCTGCTTTTCTTGGTGTTTGTACACATGAAATGGCTTTTATCCAAAAATGGATGCTGACACCGAGGATTTGCAATTAGCAGGGGGCATGTGGGAGCTGAATTTCTCCCTTCAGACTCATCCTCAGATCTCCACATGGAGCTGTCGAATTCCCTGCGCTTGTTCATCACCAGTATGAACTGGTATTGCACCAACTCTGCGCTAGAGGTGCTGTGAACCTGCAGTAAGGCAAAGTTTTCATTTCCAGGCCATAGCAACTCCTCAAGCCCCTGGTGAACACCTCCCTCAGCACCCCGTGTCTCAGCCGGCAGTCCCCTCTCAGCACACCGTCATGGTACGTGGTTTATTTTTGTTAAATGCACCGGTGTGGCCAGGCAGCAAGGCAGAGTTGGTAGTTCACTGCTCTTACCTCCTTGCTGGCTGGTGGGGCCAAGGTTTCAGTGCCCTTTCTCTTACTGTTCCTCAGATTTACCTGCAACCAAATTATTCCAACCACTTATTTCAGCAAGCAGACAGAGCAGGTAGGGCACCCAAGGAAATAGCTTTATAGAAGGTTTGCAGTTGTCAAAACCACTGGGGGCTCATTTCTGAATTGCTAACTACAGGCTGATACGATGCTCAAGAGTGTTATTGCCCTGGTAGAGGAAGGAGGTGTCAGCGAAGGTTTGAGTTAGGCCAGATAAAAAGAAAAAGAACCACAAGAAATATGTGGGAGTGGTAAACCATAACTATGAGGCCTGTCCTCACAGCTTTGAGGTCAGTGTAGCACACATTCAGACTGTAACACGGGGGTGGAAGATGGCCTACGTAGGTGTGAAGGATGGATCCCAGGGTGGGATTACAGTCTGAACTTGGGCCTGGCATTTGGCAAGTACAATCAGCAGCATGACTGAGAGCCCAGCCTGGAGGCACGGCAAGGGCTAGCATGCAGTGTCTGCCACAAAACACAAGAGGTCCACGGTCAGCAGGGTGTCACCCTAAAGGGATAGGGGAGTCCCAGGCACAGACACTACATCTGTGCCTAAACTTCACAGACCAAGATCCGAAGTGAGGCACTGAGAGTGAGCCAGTCGTGCTGCTGCTCTGGAAGCGTGGTGGTGCCTTGGTTAAATATGCAACTGCTGTTTATTTGGCAGAGCAGCAGGACTGGTCCTACCCCTCGATCTTGTTTTCTGCTCTCCACAGCCAGTGTACCATTTCCCGACCCAGCTGGGGATGATGCATCACCTGAAGGAGCAGCTGGAGGAGAGGACTCGCATACTGCAAGCTGACATCAAAACGCAGCAAGAAGAGCTCCACATCATCAAGGAGCAGCTCCAGCTGGTGCAGGACTCGAACCTGCAGGTACCGGCTGCCCCAGGGGCTCCCAAACCCACAAAACATTTGCTTTTCCTTTGAGCATGCAGATCAGTAACAAAATTGTCAGTGGCAAAAGCATTTGGAAATGAGCTCTGGATAAATTGGTAGTTTGGTCTCAGATGTGGGAGTGGAGTCTCCTGAGAGATGAGTGGCATCGGTGTCTGCTTAAGTACTGAATCAGGAATTTTAATGATTTAGAAAGAAACAAACCCAAGCTAATCCATTCCTGCAAAATGCAACAGGTTTAATGGAGCTGGAACAATCATGGCTCTGAATAAGTATTTGGACACAAGCTAACATTTGATTTTCTGTTATTCATGGTTCACTTTGCCCCTGGATTTAGAGATCTTGCTGCTGCAGTGTTATATATGTTGGTAGAGACACCCTGGGAGCTGGAGCCAGGATCTCCCAGGCCGTACAAGCTGCGACAATTCATGTCTCTTTTATTTGAAGATGCTGATGCAGCAGCCCATCCCCATCGTCTTTAACAACATGCAGCACCCGAGCCCCAGGAGGCCGCCGCCGCCGGGGATGCCCAGGCAGACCACAGCCAAGAAGTCACAACAGCAAGGCCTTATGGGGACGAAGCACTTCTGCAGCACTCGCCTGCCGTCACCGCGCCAATTCCTCAGGGACCCCTGCGGCACGGCCGCGCAGGTCACTGCCTGCTCCCTTGTCTTCATCGTCCCCTTTGCTGGCTTTTTAAATACTTGTCTGCTGTGTACCCCCCTCCCCATGGTCCCATGCATCTCCTCTGTGCTGGTTTTACACTGTAGCTGAAGTGACAGAATTTGTGTGGAGAGTCAGTTGTGAATGATGTAAAAATGAGAGTCAAGGTAGCCTAAAAACACTAAAAAAAAGCTCCTAAAAGCTGGAGCCGTTCTGGTGAGCACAGAGGAACTGAGTGGGAGCTTGGGTTCGCACCCAGTGAGTTGTGACTTCCTAACATGGGGAAGTGGGCATTATTTTCAGAGTCATTTTCTGCTTTGAAAAGTTTGTCTTCACTAGACCTAAATCCACTAAATGAATGGTCACAGCTCCTTGGGAAAGAACTGAGTTGTCCAAAAGCAAAAAAACCCCCAAACCTACTGCTTTAAAAGGATGGACAAGGCAATTTCCTTGGGGTCTTGCGCTTCTTCTCCCCTCTTAGCTGGTGCTTCCTCCCTCGAGCCTTGCGTGCCCTTAGCCTTGTCCTCTGGTTTCTCAAGAGACCATCTGCTCCTGCACTGAGCATCCCAGCATGGCTATGCAGGGCAGTAAATGGGTTGGATGTCCAGGACACTGTTCCCACTGCTGTGGTCAGGAAGAACATCCTGCTGTTTCTTCTTCTTTTCCCACGTGCGTACTGGAAACAGTTATTTTAGCCTTCTATCAGGGAGCTTTGGGTTTCTGTGTCTTCATTTCAGGTACAGCAGCAGCAGCACCACCTAATGAGAGGAAGCCAAGCCCAGCAAACATGCCTGCCGGGGCAGACGAGCATTTCGGTGCCCCTCTACAACAACCCCATGGTGTTTTCACAGACGCATCCCATCACCGTCACTGCACAGATGCCGACGGACGGCAGCGAGAGGCAACCGCAGTCTGACTACAGCCAGGACAGGAGCCTCAGGTACCAACGCAGCCCTGCTGGGACTGTCCTGCTGGTGGGGATAGAAAATAGCAACATCTGGGCAGCGGGGAGGGCAGGCATGGCCAGGCTCGGGGGGTCATGGTCGCTGGGTGTCACAGTGGGGGCGCAGGGACTTGTCCTCAGGGGTCTGAAACCCTTTTCTGTCCGTATTTCCATAAATTGGCCAGGTAGCTCAGTAACCTTTGGATATCTGGTGCTGTCAGAGGAAAAACTGCCAGGGACAGCCTTTCCCAAACCTGTGTCTGCTTGCTCTGAAGCTCCAGGGTGTCTTTCCTCCGGCCAGGACAATGGCAAAGCCATTTTTCTTTTATACAATGCTGGCAGCCTATGTATAAAACATACACAACCGCCCCAGACTATTCAACCTTGCTTCAGGGAAGTATCTGCAGACACTGTCATCAGGATCCAGCTGCTTCGAAGTATTGTGTAAGGAAGCAAGAGAAACCCTAGAGGTATCACCATGTATAAAACAGTTCTTACATGAAAGCTTTATCAAGTTTCAGCTCACCTCCCCGAGCTCATTAGACAGGGTGATAGATAATAAGCACTCTATTTTACTACCTTTGTTCAAGGTGATGGTTTGCATGCTTTCAGGGAGGATTTTCAGGATTTGTTTCAAGAGACTGATGGTCAGGAGTGTGGATCTCTCTGGTCCCTGACCGCCCTGTGTTTTTCCTCCACCGCAGGATGCTGTTGGATCAGTCCATCCAAGCCACGATGCCTGCCAACGGCAGCGGCCAGTCCACGCAGAGCGGTGCCAGCAGGCAGCAGGGAAAGTGAGTCTGAGCTGGGCCCTGTTTTCATGCAGCGTTTTAGCAGGGGGCTGAAAATGACTTGGAAAAACTTGTATGTGATCACGCAAACACGAACAGTCTCAGTCTTAAACAACAGCTCAGCTGGTTAGGAGAAAAAGTATCGAGAATGGTTTTTAATTACAAAGAATTCTATGATAACTGAAATGCTTTGAAAAAAATACTTTTTAGCCATTTCTCGCTTTTGCAAAACGTTAAACTCGTTAAGTCACAGAGGAGATGTACAGCCTTAAAAACCTTTCTTGTCTGCAGTTCCAGTCAGAGCTTGATGGGGAGAGGGAAATCTGGGGCCTGCCCCAGTGGTGGGTCTGGGTTTGGGTTCTCACGCCGTCTTCTCCTCCTCTTGGCAGGTTTGTTGCGGAGCAGCAGATCTTGCCTCCCCCAGCACAGATGCAAGCAGTCACATGTAGCACCGTCCGACCTCCAGCCCCATCGCCCGTTTTCTCCCCGTCTCTGATGATCCCACACACCAGCTTCACATCCCACCAGGCAAACACGCCCCTTCATCTCCACCAGTGGCCACAGCAGCAGGGTCAGCAGCACCGTCTCTACCTTCAGGTACTGGAGCTGGAACATGTTTGTGAGGGTGCATGGAGATGGCTTTGGGGTTAGGTTGGGGTTTTTTTTAAGAAACGGGGCTTACCTGGCTGATCAGAACTGGTCAGTGCACTTGCATGTGCTCCTTTCCCATTGTATCTGCACATAGTGAAGTGCTCAGCCTTGCCAGGCTGCCTCTGCACCCATTCGAAGCCATATTTTCCAACAAACTCAGTTACCATTTAGTGTGCGAAGGACGTTTCCAGTTCTTCACACACAGTTTGTCACAGTTTGTTTTGATTGCTGGGCATCTCTTGAGCTGTTTTCCAAGCGCCCCCTGCCGTTCTGTCTCAGCATAACAAGGTGGGGTTTTTTATCAGCCGCCGTCACTGCTTGCTTTTCGTGTGTGTTTCGTACCACACATCTCTGGAGAAGGTGATTTTGTGTGTTTCAAAGCACAGCTTCATCAGTGCACGTCAAACCAATGGTGCTGCCAAGGAGAGGGGTTGTTGAAACTGGTAATTAATTAGTGTGGTAATACACTCTCCAAAACTTTCCTGGTTGGCAGAGGTGTAGGTTATGGTACTCCAGGCAAGGATGGTAGAAAACAAAGCAGGAAGAGTCAGTACAGCTGAAAGCAGTCATGGAGCAGGTCTGGGTTTAGAGTAAGAAGTGAATCATTGTCAGCAATGTGGGTGTGAGCTGTCCCCACGTTGGCTACATGTGCTCACAGGCTGCACTGAGGTCCTGAGGACTGGCAACATCAGTGATGATGCTGAGGGAAGTCAGTAGCTCCAGGACAATGGAAAACCAGGCTTTGGTGCCACAATGCCTTTAATGGGGGGTGAACCACCAAGTCCGGGTCACCCAGCCCTGTGTTGGTACATGGACAAGATTGCTCTACGGCCTCTTCATTGGTTGCCTGAAGATCCTTCCCATGGAAGACGGAAGTTGCAGATCCTGCCTGTTTTACCTTATGTCCCAGTAGCTTTTGAATCTGCTGGGCTCCCCGTGGGGGTGGTGGGATGGACGTCCCCTCCGTACACAGCAGGTGTGGTTGGCTGTGCTGATAGCACCAGTGTCCCAGGCTGGTTGTACCCTTGGTGGGCAGAGGTTACCTCTAGGATTTGGTACCGGCACTTGGGTACAAGTCTCAGCACCAGCCCTGCAGCAAGAGAGGAAGCAGACGGGTGACAGAGCAGGTCTGACTTGTCCCATTTGTGTCTCCCGACAGATGCAAGGTCCCGAGCCGGTGCCTGGGGCTCCAACGCAGCGCATTTTCCAGCCCCCACACACCCCACAGCAGAACCCCCTGAGCTACTTCCTCCACCCGCAGCAGCAGAGCCGCCATGGACAGGGCCAGGCCTGCAACCTGCCCGATCTGCCCGAGATGCAGCTGCCCTGAGCGCCGGGTCCAGCAGGCAGGGACCACCTTGGTTGTAGCCGCTCGGCGCCCTGGATGCAGGCAGAGGAGAGGACGACGACGTCGGAGCGTGGGACGGGTGAGGTCGGGCCCCACGGGATGGTGGTGGCCGGAGGGACGGTCCGGACAGCTCCAGGGGCATCTGGTGGGTTGGGATATGCACAGAGCCGGTCCGAGACGATGCTGGGGCAGCCGTACGTGTGCCCAGCGGCGCGGTACAACTGGAAGGCAGCGGCTTTCTGGCTGCAGGGAAGTTATTTGTCAGGCGGCCATGAAGATCGCTTTGCGACGGAGAAAACCCTTTTCCATTCAGGACTTCAATGCTGAAAGTCACTGTGAATTTAAGCCCAGTGTTTGGAGCACTTACACAGACTGTACTGGTCCACAGGACTGTTGAATTACCGTGTACAGAACTCGTTTTGCTGTCGTAGGTCCGTTGTGGATTTTTCTTTTCCTTTTTTTCTATACCTCAGTCCTGCAATTATTTTTGTTTTCCAGGAGATTGGATAATGCTGCTAATTTACAGAACACCACTTTTGCCTGAATTTCTTACTGTTGTTATACCAGCTCACATAGCAGCTAGTAAGATATTTGTTGTGTTTTATTTTGGTTAACAAGTGCAGATAAATTTATATGGTTTTTTTTTTCCTCCCTGTAGCCAAATATTTTTCAGGTTACAGACAAAGAATCCTTACTTTGTTGTTTTTTGTTGTTGTTTTTGTCTCGAGTGATGTAGTTGTGTACGTCTCTGTACATGAGAACAAGCAGACAAGCACAGAATGGCGTATGACGGCAAACTTTGTGGTTTTGCTCGGTCATGTCTCAGTTTGGCGCAGCCGAAGCGTGCGTTCACAACGACACACACGATGTTCTAAGCCCGTGGGGTCAGCAATAAATTGTATTTTTGTAAATTGTCACTTTATAACTATATGTTTATATTTATTAATTGAAAAACAAAAACCAAGTTTATTCCTCAGTGGGTGTATAGTTAAGTGTCCCTACTGTTTGTGTCTTTCCAAAGGAAAAATGAAAATGTACATTTTTGAGGAGCTAGTAGCCGAGTGCTGACTTCGGGCACTGCTGGAGCCCAAATGCAGGACATGGGTGGCCCGTTACTCTAAGCTTTGAAGAAAATGGTTAGCTAGGAGCAGGTCCAGCCAGCGGCAATGCTCCACTTGGCAGTCAGCACAAGGCTTAGGGACGGGTTATTTCGTGTCCTATGTCAGGTACAAGCAAAGCGTGCTGCTTATTTTTTTTTTTTTGCCTTTTTTTTTGGACATTTGTTTGCTTTTTTTCTTGTGCAAGCTGCTTTCTTGGCTCTTCGCACCACTGCGGCTGCTGGAAGCTGGCGCTCGCTGCTGGAGCAGCCTTTGGCACGAGCAGCCCTGTGCTTCGGGAAAAGGGGGGGAAAGTTAGCATGCAAAAAGAAAATAGGTATAACGAATGGTGTAGGTATCTATAGCTGGAGATAGCTCGGACTGCAGATACAGCTATATCTATAGCCAGCTTGCTTTCCCCCACCAGCCACATGCATTGTCTGCACTGCATGGGGAGGATTTCGCTCTGTGTTAGGGACAAGTGTGGGCTGGGCAGCACAGGGCAGAAAATCCTTGCTGTTCCAGCCCAACTGGAGCAGGCTGCGGCAGCCCGAGTGTCCCGGAGAGCTCAGGAATGGAACGGGAGCGCGGCAGCTCTGCACCAGACGTGGTTTTGGCTGTAGGCTCGCTGCCGGCGTGCAGCCTGACTCACCACCCGCCCTGCCTGTGCCCCCATTGCGCAAGGGGCTGTTCCCCACCCGCAGGGTTTTTCCTGGTGAAGGTGATGGGGTTTTTGCTGCGGCGGTGGTGGTGGGAGCAGGGTGCACCCACAGCACCCAGGAGCTTTTGTGGGGCTGGTGCAAGGCACTGGGCTGCTTTGGTGTTTTGGCTGGGGCACAGAGGGGAATGCAAACAAAAGCTGTGTGAGCCCCCTGCTTTGCACAGGGCCCTTTCCTTGGCAAAAGCATTGCTGTGGGCAGGCGCAGGGGAG